GCTTCGCGATGGCTGCGCGGGCGCGCGTGGGAGGGCGGGAGGGCGGGCAAACGGGAGGGGTGTGTGTCAGATGGGGCCGGGAAGGGGCGGGCCATGGGCGGGAACCGGCGCTCACAGCTGCCCTGTGTGTATATTGGGTAGGGGTTTGAGGGCGGGGGAGTTCACGCGGGGCCCAAAGGTGCGCCTCACCTGCCCATTTGTTTTTGTAATAGTCTTGAGCCTGCCAGGCGGGGGCGCGGGCGGCCGCGGCGCGGCGGCGGGCGGGGCGGCACAGTCAGCGGGTACAGGATCGGGGGCGCCAGAAACAGGGGGCGGCCACGGCTGCGGCCCCCTGGAGTGGGTGGCGGAAGCTGCCCGGTCTGCGGCGACGGCCGGCGGCGGCCGGCCGACGGCCGCCCAGGGCCCGAACCAAAGGCCGGCGCGGGCGCGGGGGCGGAGGCCAGGGGGGCCGCGGGGCGGCAAGAGGCCGATGGTGTTGCGGTTGGTTTCAGCAGGGCTGGGCTCACCCGCACAATAACCGCCTGCTCCCACTCTGTGAAGGGTGACTTGAGCAGCCCGGGGGCCAGCTGGTTGCACCACCTGAAATACAGTGGGCATGTGTGCAAGTCAGGGCGGGGCGGGGCCTAAAACTGGGCGGCGCGGGGCGGTCGCGGCGCGTTGAGTGTTGGTTGCACGTTAATGCACGGGTGCGCTTTACGGGCTGCAGGCAGCAGGGACGGGCCCCCGCGTCCATCCAGGCAACATTGTAAATTTGAGAATATGCTTTTGCGTTGAATGCGACTGATCACACCCGAACAAGTAGGCATGCGAGCTCCCGGCAGCACGGTCCCCCTTTCTGCTCCGCCACGCACCGCAGCCTGCAGCTCTTTGCGCTGCGGCTCATCATGCCGCGGGAGATAGCAACCCAAGATGAAGTGCCGAGCTTAGAGACGAGCTCGCATAGCAGGGCGTCTTCACATCTGGTCCAGGCGCCGCGCCTGCACTCCGATTCGTCCATCGCCACACCTATCAGGGTCGGGGATCGGCCCGCAGCGGGCCACAAAGGGTGCGCCCCGCAGGGTGAGAGCTCCCGGCTCTCCCGAACTTTGCAGCTCGCGCCTGAGCCTACGGGGCCTGTCAAGCGCTCTATAGAGACGAACAATCTAAGGCATTTGCGTATGCGCTCGATGCGCTGCGAGGTATGGACACGGCGCATGGTGTCACCCGCAGAGATGCCGGTGCCGGCGCGCGTCGACAGCCCGCAAAATGACGATTTCCCTCACCCGAAAACGAATGGCCCAGCAAGCCCGCCGGACACAGGGTGACCCTGCACCCCACAACCCCAGAGTAATTTTCAAAACCACATGCCAGGTCGGTGCGCAAAAACGGCATGCCGGTGCTGTGGTGGTGCGGGCTGCAGCGAATTTTGGCATATGCCCATACCCCATACCGCCGCACCCAGGTTGACACCCGGCAGGGCTGACCCCAGGCATTGACACAGCCCCATTGGCACGTGCGAGCATTGCTAATGTTTTTTCCAAGAGGCCGGGCCGCGGTGCCTATCGACGGGCCGCGTCCGCTGGGCGCGCAGTACACCAATGGCCTCTGGCAGCAGGGCAGTGGACACACCGTGTGGCCAGCGGCAGACCGCACGAGACCCACCACCCTCCTGCTTGTGATTCTGGCCGTGGACCTGCAGATTGCATCCAGCGTCGAGGTCCCGCGCACCCCCTTTGCAACAGGCGGCCACCCGGCGACATCCCACTGCCCAGAGCGCAGCGCGCGCAGTGGCTCAGTCCGAGCACCTCGTTTTTTTAGAATTCGGCGACACAAGAGGCAGCAGGGCCGCGGCTACCGGCCGGGTGACGCGTCCGTCATGGCCCGACGCCGCTCAGCGCGTGGTCTGTTTTCGCTGGCTGGGCTTCAGAGCCAGCGGTAGGTTCTCGTAGACCACCACCACACATGACAGCCCGTGTCCATCAAAACCACGGAAATGGGATGCCGAGGTTGGGTCGTGGCGATGGACACGTGCGTGTGGATGAGATGTGGGTAAGGTCGGCTGGCGGTGTGGTCATGCATGTGGGCGCGGGTTGATGGCGGGACACACAGGTTGCCATCAGGGGAAGGGGGATGGGCGTGGGGATGGCGTGCGCGCGAGTGGGGCAGTCTGCAATTTGTGGGCACCACACACAGCTGCCTGGATTTTTGTGTTGGCGTTTTGTAAGCACAGTGCGTCCTTGATTGGAGACGGAAGAGCAAGGGGGCCGCATGGAAGGTGGACAGCGGTTGAGGTTGGGGGCCGCTGTGGGGGCAAGTGCACGTGCCGTGTGTGTATAACTGGTGTTTGTGTGCAGGCTTCGTTTGTACATAGGTCACCCATAAACATGCAATCAGTGAAAAGTACGCGTTTCCAAGTGGTGTGAAGAAGGGTGTAGATGAGCAGAGGGGCTGGTCATCACAAGAAACGCCCCACCCAGCAAATGCGGCAAGCAGCAATATGCACAAAGCGTCTGGGATATCCCTGCGCACACCCCGTTCACTTGGGCAAGCCTGAAGTGCCTTCCAAATTATCACATCAGGTGCCCCAGCGCCGCCGAAGCAGTCAAAGGTGAATCGGCGCCCAAGATCTGCATGAGGCGTGACGGTGTCGAGCTGCCTTGCCGCAGCCCCTGCCCACCTGGCGTGAACGGCACATGCAATTGATTGAACCCCGAAACCCACGTGCAGCTACGCGCACGCATAGATCCCCCGAACGCACGGCTTTGAATTTAGTCATCACGGCCAGAACGAGGTGGTCGAAGCCGGGTTTCGGTGGTGTAACGCAGTTCTCCAACGCCGCAAGCCATTTGTGGCAGTCGTAATCGTTCATTTCAGCTCTTTGCGTACTTCATCCGCTAATCAGAGAGGTCTGGGGCGCGAATTGCCGGAACCATGGCTGCCAGCTCTGAGGGCCGGCGAGGCGCATGGACGCAGGAGGTGAGCCATTGATGATTGACAAAAGTCTTAAAGTATGCTATGGCGCCACTCAGCCTGCGTGGGGCCAAGGCAGTGCCGTCACCACCTGCATCTCGATGCATGCACCGTCCGTTTCGAACCACGGGTGACAAGCCGCGCACCCTTCGTAGGAGGACAACCTTCTCATAAGTCTTGCCTCGAAGTTGGGAACCAGCTCATGGGTCAACATCTCCTCGCACTTTGGAGCTGCGCGATCCGCTAAAAGCTGCAGGCTTAGGTAAGTTGCTTTTGCGCTTCTGTATTCGCCCTTCACGCCACCGCTTGCACGCCGCGACCCTCTAGCTGTGCTGCAGCGGCGCCGTCACCGTGCTGCCCATGTTACCGTGTCACCATGACCTTGACTGTTCGCGACCCGAAACCCCATCCATCGCGATCCCGGCGCAGGTGGTGCAACCAGCTGGCCCCCGGGCTGCTCAAGTCTCCCTTCACGGAGTGGGAGCAGGCTGTGATAGTTCGGGTGCGCGCCTCGAGCGGGTGGCTGGAACCAGCACACACCGGTGCAGCGGTAACCCTAGGGTGCCTTCAGCCGGACACCCTAAAGTCATTTTGAGACGCCTTTACCGGAGCCCCTGCACCTTACGGATGGGTGCCTTGACTTGGGCTCTGTACAAATCCCAAACAGCAGTAAAATTGGGTCTAACACTCCGAGCTCCACCAATCTGGACAGGCAGCGCTGGGCAGCGGTGGCCACGCGGGCGCACCGCCACCACACACCACGCGCCTGCGCCGCACTGCCCACCCTCACCCCGCCCTGGGCCCAAAACACACGCCATTTGCAAAGATCACCTCCCTCCCCCACCCTCACGCCCACAGCCTCATCCCCTCACCCTGAGCCCCTCGTCACTTGCCCTCAACCCTACCCCGGCGCACACACCAGGCACAAGACGTATTCACCAACCGGTGGGCAGCCATCGCGAAGCTGCTGCCCGGCCGCACCGACAACGCGATCAAAAACCACTGGAACGCCACGCTCAACCGCAAGCTCAGCAGCGCAACGGAGCGCCTCGACAACCGATACCTGGAAGACGGCGCCACCCTCGACTGGCTGCTCGCAAACAGGGGTACCGCCGCGGGCGGCAGCTGCGCGCCAACTTCCAGCCGGGACAGCGGGGGCTCTGAGGGTTCCAGGTTCAGCGCTGGCCGCGTCGGGGGCCGCGGCAGCCAGGTGGGCGCGCGCCTGCGCCTGCGCCTGCGCCCCCGCCTGCGCCTCCGCCCCCAACTCTCTCGGCCCCCGTCTTCCCTGCCCTGCCTTGTCCCTGGCCGGCTGCGCATGGGGGAGGACGAAGCTCTATCTTTGTTTTTTTATGCCGCCATCGCGCTGGAGGCCGTGCCTGGCGGCAGACTCAGGCCTCGCCCGCAGGGCGGCCACAGGGCGCCCTGCCACCTGGCACGAGCTGAGCCGCGCCTGCCCGGCCGCCCTTGCCTGCCTCCAATCCCCACAGGCTGTGAGCAGCGGGGGCGTCACCAAAAGTACGCGCCGCGCCGTCGCCGTGCGCACGGCGCGGGCGGCCCGCCGTGCGCCCGTCGCCGCAGGGGTGGCGGACTCGCCGGCGGAGCCGCCGGCGCCGCCGCCGCCAAGCGAGGCGCGGCAGCAGCGGGCGGCTGGGGAGCACCTTGAAAAGCAGCAGCAGCAGCAGCAGCAGCAGCAGCAGCAGCAGCAGCAGCAGCAACAGCAGCAGCAGCAGGAGCAAGAGGCGAAACCATGCAGCGTTGCCGACGCGCTGATCACCAACGACATACCCACGTGCATCTCACCGCAAACGAACAGCGCAAGCCACCTCTCCTGGCCCCTCCCGGCCGACGGCTCCGCCGCCGCCGCGCCCGCGCCCGATGCTTTGGGCCGCCGCGACAGCGCGGCGTCCTCGTGCCCCAACAGCCAAGCCAGCGCGCACCTGTCCGCCTGCTTTGGCTGCGCCGCCGCCGGCGTCGACGCCACCACCGCCGGTGCCACGACGCCCGTGGTGTCTGCACAGGTCGTCCCGGCCCCGCCGTCGGGTGCCTCGTTCCCCTCCTCCGCCGCCTTGCCGCCCGCGGCGACCGTGCCGCCGCCGCTGCCGCCGCCGCCGCCGTCCGCGGCGCGGGAAGGCGTGCTGCGCGCGCTCAAGGAGCAGCGGCGGTTGCTGGACGCCCGCCAGGCGGCGCTGCGGCGGCAGGCGGAGGAGCTGCAGGCGCTGCAGCAGCGCCAGCGCGAGGAGTGGCGCGCGCTGGGCCTCGAGATTTGCATGCGGCGCGAGGCCGCCGCGCGGGCGCTGCTCCCGAACGGGCCGCCGCACCCGCAACCGCCCGGCGCGCCCAGCGCACCCGGGCCCGCGGCAGCGCCGGCGGCGCCGTGGGGTGCGCGGCTCGGGCCGCTGACGCCGCATGACGTCATGATGCTACTGCAGCAGCAGGAGCAGCGCGAGCAAAGCCAGCTGACAGGCGTGCTCCTGCATCAGAGCGCCTTGCACCCTCAGCACCACATGCAGCAGCACGGCAGCTGCGCGGCCCCCGGGCCCGCCTGGGCGCCGGCCCTTCCTGGCGTCTTCGACGACGGCATCATCAGCGGCGGCGGCGCGCCCATCACCCCCGCGGCCCACGAGCACCCCTTTGGCACGGGGCCGCCCCTCTCTGCCGCGTGTGTTTCCCCCTCTGTGTCCCCCGGCGACGCCGCGTCAGCGTCGTCATCAGCGATCCTGCTTTCGGAGGATGACGAGGAGGGGCTGCTGGGCAGCTGCATGGGGCTGGGCCTGCTTACTGGGGCGGACGACCTGGCGGCCCCCGCCGAACTGTTTGACTGGGACCCTCTGGCGCACCTCTGAGCGCCGCCCTCAAGGGCGGCCGTGCAGCTCTACAGCCGCGAGCGGCGCGATCGGCGGCAGGCCCGCCCGCCGGGGCTTCGCTCGCCGACGCCCCTGGCTGCCGATAGGGCACACCCGGTGATCCGGCGTGACCCAGGGCTACGCCGGGCTACGCGTCTGAGCCACAGGTCCTGGGCCTTGGCCCCAAATCATGTGCGCAAGCGCGCATGCGCTAAACCGTGCACGCGCCCACACTGCTGCAAGCAGGACTCCGTGCCGAGATTGCCTCTGCCCTGTCAGCACGCCTTCGCCTACCAGTTGCGAGGCCCCAGAGAAGCACCCCGTGCCATCGCCGCTTTCTTCTTGCTTTTTCTCTTTGCATGTCGCGTTCCCCCTGCTGATCGCGCGCACGCGCCCCCGCACGTGCGGGACAGGCGCGTGCGCGCGCGCGCCCACGCACGTACAGTACACACAAAGGAATGAAGCACATCGCGCATAAGCCGTCTCTTTTGGTCGAGCGTCTTAATATTTGCAGGATTCAAAGTGATGTTGGCGCCAAGCTACCCAAGGCTTCCTTGGCCTGCGCGGGTTTGGGGGCGGCGCAGGCGCTGAAAGCCGGCGGCGCCCCCCTTTGCCGCATGCGTGGCCCGGTGCGGGATCCAACGAAGATTCGCCACACCCCTGCACCCAACTACCCCACACCACACGCCCTTCCTGCCAAACGACATGAGCCCCCATCTGTGTTTATTTTATTTGAACAGGACACTGCCAGCCAACAAAAGTCCCCACGCGCGCGGGGCGCGCGCGCAGCCCGCGCACGGGGCGCGCGCGCAGCCCGCGCAGCCCGCGCAGTTGGCACCAACGCATGCCCCTGCGCAACCCACCGCCCCACCCTAGCCCCACGCGCCCGCGCTTGCACCTGGAGCCGCAAACCCGGCCCCAAGCCTGTGCGCGCGAACGTTCACGCCACAACTGACGCCACGACCAAAGCCCGTCAGCTGGCAAATACCATAACACGGCCGCAGCCCACCACGACTGCATCTGGTGGGGGTGAGTGTGGCACTTTTATGGGGTTGGGTTCACTTTTGAGGCGGCTTGTCTGATACGGTATTGCGGCCGTTGCTGTCCGCCCCTACAACGCCGCGTGCGCACTTGGTCTGTACAGATGCACGTTGTCATTCCTCTGTACCCATGCGCGTCTGCGCCTGCGCCTTCGTTGGCGTGTTTCGCGCGAGGCTTTCAATCCCGGTTCACCCGCTCACTGTCCCTTGAGCCCTGCGCTCTCGCGCGCGCGCGCGTGTG